ATTCCAAAGGAAGATTTTGCATCCCTGGACTTAAAAAAATATTTCAATGCTGATGGGCTTATTTTGAAGTCCTAGTTCAACTCGATAGGGTCAATTGCAGTTTAAGATCCCTATTTTGCAACTCTAGCGCTATAATTATTGCTAAGGATCTCTGTCGAATTCTAAATCGGGCTATCCTGTCGCCTTCTCAATTTGCTTCCGAGCGGCCAACATCAAACACTATATTTCACAGTTTTGGTGTTGGGTGCTGCGCTGCCTGGAGTACTGTAGCTTCATCTATGCTTCCTTTCTTTCTGTGGTGAATCTGTATAAGACCGGTGGTCTTAATAAAGCTGTGTTGTTGTTATTTCACAGTTTTGGCTGAACGATATAGACTTTTATAAAGACTATTTTCCAAGGGGCATATTTTTCATCAATGAAATTATTTATATATTTACATCCAGGGAAATTCAGAGGACCAGATATTGCAGCCCTGGTTCTGTCCAATAGGATTCCATATGGTTAGGCTACGTCAATGCTGAATTACATATCTTGACAACCTACTTAATATGTTCAGTTGGTCGATGCATATTTCCAAGCAGCCTATTCCAAATCCATATTTTGCAAGCTGGACCCTTTCTCTTTAGAGAAACTGCAGAAGCCAGATTTAGCAGCTCTTATTATATCCATTAGGGCCCCACGCGACCTTTTCCAAGAGCCAAATTTTGCTTTTTTTGGCGCCTTGAAGAATCTTTTCAAGAGATATAATGTAAGGGAAGATCTTGGAATGTATTCCGCTCAAATATGGTGCCATGTAACAAAAGAGATATGTTTCAGATCTGGATCAGACACAGGGATTCAGAAAGTCAGAATCTGCGGCCTTGTTATCGACGTAAAGCTTAAGTTGCCAAAAGGTAAGATTTTCAGCTCTCTGACGTCATATCAATTATTTTCAATGCGACTAATATTCGTCATACATTGTGTTCAATTTTCTATTCAAAATATCCTCTCCAACCACACATGACACGAATTTATTTTCATATTGAATATGTTGGAAACTGAGCGTCTTTGCTTTATATCATTTCTATATATTCAGAGAAATGTAAATTTATATACAGTAGAACCTACCTGTAGAGTACACCTAATTGCAGGGCCAAATTTTTCTTTAGAGAGAGGTGTCCTCTTACCGGAGAGTTGTCAAATAGTAAAAACGATAATTTTGCAAATGAAAACTGTCCTTTGTAGAGAGGTGTCCTCTAGCGTGAGTGTCCTCTCATGGAGGTTCTACTGTATTATATCAGTCATAACATAAACATTTTTAACGCGATCAAATAAAGGGCGGCTTACAATTATTGATTTTAAAATCAATTAGTTTCTACGACTATTTATGCCCATATATTAAACAATAGTAATTTAAAATATAGGGGGTGATAATTTTAGGGACTGATATTGAATTTGAGGATCATTTTGATAACCAGTGTTTCAGCTTTAACTTTCTTCAAATTGTCTCAACTGAGTAGCTTGATTAGCTTCTAAAAGGAAAGGTTTGAACAATATAATATGATCATAATTGGAATAGGTTAATTCACGCAAAGTTTGTGATTGATAACCAAAGAATTTCATAAAAATAGTCTTCACGGCAAGCTGCATTATCAAACAATGGAAGGAGTTATTATTTGCCTCTAAATATTGGTTAAATTTGCCCCAGTGCATTTTTAAAGTGACGCAGATTGGATTTGTTATCTGGGTTAATATTTTGGCATCGAAAGTGTAATAAATATTCATCTTGGAATCAGTTTATCTCTTGTAGTATCGCTTGGTTGTTAAATAGGATGTCTTTGTGCATTTCGTCCATCTTTGATTGAAATTAAAATTTTGACATTTTATTTGAGATATAATTGTTTGATTTTTAATTCAAACTCTTAAAATTGATAACAAAGTTCATCTGACGTTTAACAAATTTAACCTCAAATGTTTCTTTTTACAGAACAAAATTCGTAATTTTAATTATTTAAGGAGAAATAACAACTATTCCTATCCTTAGGGATGAAGTATGAAAAGATGAATTGTGAAGGGTAATGAAGAACGATAAATGAAAGTGTTCCCATCCCTGGACACTTTATTTTTCCGTTCATCATAACTCTTCACAATTCATCCTTTCATACTTCATCCCTAAGGTTAGGAGTAGTCGTTATTTCTTCTTAAATAATTAAAATTACGATATTCCGTTCTGTAAAAAGAAACATTTGAGGTAAAATTTGTTAAACGTCGTTTTATAGCCGCATTATATTGTACAGTCGAACTTGGATAATTCGAACCCCAAGGGACCATAAAAAAATTCGAATTATCCAAAAATTCGAATTAAAGATGTTTTGAATAAAAAGGCTCAAAACAATATAAATCTCACAATTTCGATCAATTCCTTTATTAAGAATAACATTAGTTGCTGTAAATTTACATTTTTACCGTATATTTAGATTATGTGCAATAATTGTATGTATATACTATATACATATTAAAAAATTTCAAAACTGATGTATTAATGTACAAAAAAAAAAGGCAGATTGCTGGTTAAAAAAAATGTACAGATTATTCTGCTTCGTTGGAACTCTGAAATTTAATTTTTGCCAAAGAAGTCAGAAATCTTAGCCTGTTTTCTAGAATTAAGTCTTTCAGTAAGGACAAAGGATTCTAACATATTCAACGAGTGGAAAATAGAGGGACTTACGTCATTTTTACTTTCAAAAGAGCGCCTAAGTTGCATGATATAGTTCGTTGCTTCGGCCGCACTTGGAACGTTCATTTCCCCGGCAACTGATGACTCGTCTTCATCACCCGATGCCTCGTCGCCGTCTTGTTTTTCAATGTTGTGGTTGAGCACTTCAGCGATGATATCTGCGTCGGTTATCTCACCACATACTGCAACATCGTCATCCACGTTTAAGAAATCGTCATACGAGATGGTAGGATTAGAAATGACGTCCTCCCAGCCGTCAACTGAAGGCATCGTTTCCGCTATAATATCATCTGCATTTTCTTCATCCTCCTCCTTTTTTACGAAACCAGCTTTTTTAAAACAGTGTTTGATCGTTTCGGACGTTACTTGGTCCCAAGCTTTCTTACACAATCGAGAGGCTTGAAGAACGTCTAGTTTGATTTTAAGGGCTTCGGAATCTCCTGTCAATATGTTCTCAACTAGAAACCGTCTGTAAAAATGATTAAGATTTTTGATGACTCCCTTGTCCATGGGCTGGATAACCGAAGTCATGTTGGCAGGAAAAAAAATACTTCCACATTTTCCATTGGAGGGATTGAGTTGTGTGCAGTACAGTTATCGATAAATAAAATAACTTTTCGTTTTTCTTTTGTGAACTTTTGTCCAAGTTCAGCAGCCACTTCTAAAAAAGATAACTAGTTATCCAAGCTCTTGCGCTGTTTGCATAGTCCACTGGCTTCGTTTTGACGTTCTTGAAACAACGTGGATTGGCTGCCTTGCCTATCATCAATAGAGGAAGCTTTTCAGATCCATCCATATTTGCACCAACCAGGAGAGTGACTCTCTCTTTGCTTAGTTTTCCCCCGTGACATTTTTCATGCTTAAAAGCTAGCGTTTTGTCAGGGGTGCATTTGAAAAAAAGACCCGTTTCATCAACATTGAAGACGTCTCTAGCGTCTTTATCCTGGATCAATTCCCGTAAATTATTTTTCCATTGTTCGGCTACTTGTAGATTAACGGCCCCACTTTCTCCACAAATGGTTTTGAACGAAATTTTGTTGCGTTCTTTGAAGCCATCTAGCCACCCAGAACTCGCCTTAAAATCGGTTTTCCCCATTTCAGTAGCAAATTGTTCAGCTTTGCTTCTTATAAGGTGACCACTAACGGGAATCTTCTTATCTCTTGCTTGCTTGAACCATTTTAAAACACATTTGTCCAAATCAGGATTTCCCGGTTCCCTTAACCTTTTTCGGCCTTTATCACACTCACTTTCACTCCTGAGAATTTTTTCTTTATTTTTTAAGTACGTCGACAACGTGTTTCGAGGAATCCCAAAGTCCTTAGCAATATCGGATTTTTTTTTTCATCCCCATCTCTACTTCTTTAATCGCCGCTATTTTTTCAGCCAACGTCAAAGTTTTGTATGTTCGAAGCGCCGACATATTCGCTCATTTTAGCTTTCTTGATAAATAAGGAGTCTCAAAAATCCAATAAAAATAAATTTATTATATATAGTACTTCTCTTGCGGCAAGATATTGCCACGTGGAAAATTAGGAAAGACAAACTTCGGCGTGACACAGCAATTTATTTAAGGCAAGGACAAACTATAATTGATAAAATAAAAGATAAGCAATGAGGGAAGTTTACAGAGTAGCAAAATATAAACATAAAAATTGATAACTCTGTTAAGAAAATAATTAATAATAA